GATGGCGATGATGGTAATAATCCAGTGAAAAGCCGTCATAGTGGGGATAACGACGGCAGTTGGAATGGATTGCGAGGATTGTGGAAAGTCGTCCCAAGGAAGGTGTACTTCGTGTACTCGAATATCGGAAAGAGCAGCATGAGAACCGTACTCTGAGCCCCAAGCGTTCAATCCAGCCTCAACGTTGACGACCCCTCGGTCTTGTCCTCCGGAGCCCTCAAAGGAAATCTTTCCTGCAGGGCGCAAGACGGGTTTCGGATAGGCATAAAGAAGCCGTGTTCCTACCTCCATAGACATAGACATAGACAGTGCATCGACCTTTTCCGTGAGCCTTTGGCGCAGAGTGACTGGAACTTCATGCGCTCTTTTGAGGGCTTTTCACTGTCTGTGTATATAGGTGCCAAGAAGGAGGATTCCGGGCTTCGGAGCTCATGCGTTGGTTGGGGTCGTGACAGACTTATATAGCACTCCACCTTGCAAGCATGGCAATGTGGACAAAACTCGCCGGTGCGTCGCAATGGTTCTGCGAGCCGCAGTGGCAGTCGAAAGCTAAGAACCGCCAGCGAGTGTCGGACAGGTTCCAGACAACCGGCTCTACATGGAAAGAAAGCAGAGCGTGTTGGAAGAGCAAATCAGTTCGCTGCAAAGTTCTTTGGACGAAACAAGACATATGTTGAACCACTCGCAAAGAGTGTGTAAGAAGCTTAAGGCCCAACTGAAGGAAGAGAAGCGCAGGAGCGCAAAGCACGAGGAAAATATGAAAAACAGCTAGACTCGCAAAGAGCTGAGCTGGAGGAATTGAGCACGGAACTGGAAAAGGCCCATGCTGCGCTGCAGCAGAAGACAAAGGAGCTGCATCGCCAGGTGCAAGAGAACAATGAGAGAGCGGAAAAGATGAGCCTTCAGGCATGCACCGCACGACAGTGCGAGACGGAGCTGTTGGGAGCACTCATGGAGCATGCCGCACTGCAGCTCAGTGTTCTGGAGGAGCCGAGCCCAGTACAGAAACTCCGTGCGGAGCTGGAGGTGGCTCGATTTATGCTCTCGGAAGAACAAGAAGCTGCAGACGAACTTCGCCGGAAGTTGCAAAGCATGACATTCGAGCTGGAGCAGTTTGCAGAACTTCAGCGATCAAGTTTTCTGCATGAACATCGGCATCACAAGGCCTTTGGCCGACGTTGAAAAAATTCTCCAGCACCTGGGGCAAAGACACCCCGGCGTAGCATGCGATCTTGCAATGACATGCACAGATCTACCCACTCCGTATGGAGCTGGAGGTGGCTGAGTCACTGTTGAGTCACTCAACAGTGACTCAGCCACCTCCAGCTCCATACGGAGTGGGTAGTCTGTAAGGAAAAGTTCTTGTATTGGGGTATTCTGGCGTTCCAATGGGGTTTTGTATGCGCAAATCCCACCTTCACGTTGAATTAATTAGTTGAAGGCCTCTCAAAGGGAGTCTGGCTGGCGCCTGGGGCAAAGACACCCCGGCATAGCAAGTGATGTTGCCATGACATGCGCAGATCCACCCACTCCGTATGGAGATGGAGGTGGCTGATTGACTATTGAGGCGTAAGGACAAGTTCTTGTATTGGGGTATTCTGGCGTTGCAATGGGTTTTTGTATGTGCAAATCCCACCTTCAAGTTGACTTTGTTAGTTGAAGGCCTTTGTCACTGTTGAGTCTGTAAGGACAAGTTCATGTGCAAATCCCAGTTTCAAGTTGACTTAATTAGTTGAAGGCTCTCAAAGGGAGCCTGGCGCCTTGATGGATCGTACTGCGATGCGCTGTGCTTGCGGAAAGCCATTGTCTTGAGTTCCAGCTTGCGAAGGTTTAGCTTTCAATCGCATTGATGAAGAGCTTGAGGATTCCCTTGTTCTCAGCATCGGTTGGTGCATTGTCGGACTGAAATCGAGGCGCTTGACAGCACCTTGGCAGTGGTTGCTCTGCCTGCAGCATTCTCCCGTGCGGACCCCTTGCAAGAGATTCACTCGAAGACGTGTGTGCAATCCCTCGGGCAGAGGTTGGGCCATCCGTGGTCGTGGGGACGAACAATGGACCACGACAGCTGCGCTCTCCGCCTTTGTAGGCGCGACCGAGGCCCATCAGAGCTCCCTCCCAGTTCCCGTTGGGACGGGACCGGAGGCGTTGCAGCCTTGGTGGATCATGGACTCCGGGCGGCTGACAGGAGACGCTTGGTTTTTTCTGGGTCCGCGACATTCTCCTCAGGCCTGTTATGAGTTATGAGTTTTCCATACTTGTCCTGCTGCAGGCTGCACTACTTTGAGCTGACAATTTGGAGCCACGTGCGCGATGATGGGGGGCGGGGCTCGACGTTCGGTTCTTTGTCAAACCTATGCTTCTCTCTCAGCCATATCTTGTTTCCTCAGTGCAACTAGAAGCAGTAGTATCAAGGGCTGGCAGTGATACAAGTAAAGGGGGGAGGAGCTAGGCCCGCAGGCGTGTAGCCTCGACCATGGAGCAAGACGATCACTATGCAGCGCTGGGGCTGACGCCAGAAGCGAACGAGGGGGACATTCGCCAAGCATACAAGAAGGCGCAACCTCGGACATGGCATGCAAGTGCTTGTCTCAGCCCTTTACCAGGCCGCCTTGCGCTGGCATCCCGACAAGAATCCAAAGGCATCTGAAGCGCCGGCTGTCCTGAACACATGGTTTGCCTGCGTCTGAAGGCCAAAGCCGAAGCTGAAGCGAACTTCAAGCGCATAGCGGCCGCCTATAAGGCTGGAGTGGAGCTTGGTCACGTTCTGGTTCTGAGCAAAACCGTTAGGTCCTCTCTGATGCAGCAAAGCGAAGAGTCTATGACGAGTCGCTGGCCAGAGATGTACCGGCTTCGAGTCGTCACGTCATGTCTTCCATCTTCCATACAGGTTTACGGTCTCCAAGCAGCAGAGTGACTTGATGGCTTCGGCTCGAAAGCTGCTTATTCGCGGCAGGGGCTGGCCCTGGATCCGCGAAGGCGCGCTCCAAGCCCAGAGCCACGGGTCTGCCGACACCGATCACTCGGATGCCGTGCGGCCCTCGCAAAAAGGGCACAGGTTGCGAACTTTTGCCTTCTGCAAACCAAGGCCGGAACCGGCCGTGGACCTGCAGGAGGCATTCAACCTCTTCGAAGACTTCTTCGGACACGACCCTTTCAAGGCGACTGGGGCGGAAGTTGCGGTCAGTTGCTATCGATGAAAGGGCAGCGACTGTGTTGCATGGCCAGATAGTCTTTGCATGCTTTGGTCTGC